TGTTCAGCTGGAGGTTGGCATAAGCCAATGTGAGTCACGGTAAAAAAAAATAGTTACATAGCGTTAAAATTGACAAGCCATTGCTTACTCCAGTTAACAACTGATTGGAGATCATTTTCGAGATCAGCTGGCATGGATTTACATTATCGGACATTCCGGACTTACTATTAAGACAAGATAAAATAGTTGTGTCATCAGCATAAATATCGAATTGGGAAACGAATTTGATAAACTCCAACTGTATTTCACTATCAAAGCTTTGACCCAAATTTCAAAATATATAAATTGAATAATCCCATTCCTCTCTAACTCCCTTTATAGGAACTATTTCACTTATTGACTATTGTGGCATGTGGGGACTTACTTACTTTGCTCGATTCAGCAAGAGCAGCAACAGAAATAATCAACAGGAATTCCCAGAGGTCATAAAAGACTTGACCAAGCACTATTCGGCCTCTTTCCCATTTTTCCGTTTCAGCGGCCTCTACTTCACGGCTACCTCTCTTTTCCATCTTCCTTTTCAACGGCCTCTATATTCAAAGTCCGTTCTTTTCCACTTTTCCTTTGCAGTGCTTGCAACCTTTAAGACCAACTCGGAGGCCAACACACAAACAATGCAGCAGAAGACGTTGCCTTTTCTGGCTGCTTGACTCAGATTTCACGTACTTCCCGGGTAAAACAGCGGAGAAATCTCCTTTTGAGTCACCTAAAAAACGGAAACTACACACAACCCTTGCTGCAGAAGACGAGGCCTGTAACAGCAGTTTCGTAATCAGATTCCTGGCCCTTCCCGAGGTAACTAGAGAAGAAATTTCTCTCAACAAAAGCAATTACTCAATTGCTATTTTGTACTCATTTTCAACCGGAAATAAAAGCTGTTGAACAATTATTTAAAGCTTTGGGCTTCTATTCATTCCACTCTCACATTACCGAGCATAGACAGATACACTACAGGGAAAACTACTTAACACTTTCGCCAAAGTAATACAGTCTAATCTATCGCATAGAGAAAGTTTTCAGTATAAATGAATAGAAGTTAAATGAACGTATAACATTTATTTGGATACTTTTTTGTACTCAACTTATATTTCTTAATGGAACAGTTACGAGCAGATGTTTGGGATTTTCCCTAACAACAGATCATCAAATGTCTTTGTTATTGTTGTAGTTTTTCTCCCTCTAATGAGTCTATTGTGGACTCTTCCACTTACTATAAAATTAGTAGGAATGTAAGCCCCGGGAGAACAGTGCCAAACTGTTCGTTACTGTCAAACACTCTGCATTGGCAGAGAGGAACCCCGGCGAGGCTTTACCGAAGAGCAAAATTTTGTCCGGGGAGGTAGACAGGCCCTGAACCCGTCTATGCATGTCTACGGGAATATTTTTGGCCGAGCCTACGGGCTCGGAGAAACCACGGGAAACTCGGCCTTGTGCCACATACATCGCTCGTGTTTATTAAATATTAACAGTGCTATAGCCTGTTCGTTACTGTCGAACTCTCTGCCTTGAGCAGAGAGTAACCCGGACGAGGCTTTACCGAAGGGCAAATTTTCGTCCGGGGAGGTAGACAGGCCCGGACTTGTTTATGTTGGTTCTACGGGAATAATTTTGGCCAAGCCTATGGGCTCGGAGAACCCACTGTAAAGTAGGCCTTGTGCCAGATACATCTCTCGTGTGTGTGGGAGGAGGGAAGAGACTGTTAAATATTAACAATGATATCGACTGAACGTTGGTGAAACGACACACACTCCCAAGTCGTGTAATACTCTTCTGCTGTACTTACCGTTCAATACACGATTTATCTGCAACCTCTTGTTTTGTTATTTCTTAACCATTTCTTTGGTCACAACAGTTACATCATTCATGTCATTATGCGTGGCACTTTACTATATATATATATATATATATATATATATATATATATATATATATATATATCCCTCATTTAAGACGCACCAGATTTTACTAGAATTCAAGAAATGCTACTACAACGATTTTCAACCTATCTTTGACCTATTGACGTAACAGCAAAATTGTCCAAATCGTGTAACAGCATTGGATAGCTGTCCATCCTACAAAATCTTGGTTGGGTGACGGATCCAATTTCAACACGGAACCTCAAAATGGTAAATTGTAATTCAAGTTTTGCACTCTGTTTCTAATAAGCATTTCACAAATACTTCCATTTTGATAAAATCTACCGTTTTGGAGTTATGGAGAATAAAGTTCGGACTCATTCGCTTCGCGGTGTGTGAAGTTGAAATTAGTTCTGCACCCCAACTAATTGGGTTTGTTTTTTCCAGGTTTTCAGTTATAACTTTTAGCCATCTTGACACCATTTATCGTAAGAATCACTGAAACATCCTTTGAGTTATTCAGCTAGAAAGAGAACAGGTTAAAATCGTGTTGTGTCAGCCCCACTATATCTTCCCAACTGAGTAATGGAGAGAGGAAAAAGATCATTTAGGCCTTCAGTAATGGTACTAACAGTCATAATCTAGCTTCTATCTACAAAGACCATTCAAGAGAACGGTGAATAAGATTAAAAAGAGCGAGCAGTAAATAGGAAAATTGATCTGGAGGTCACAACACTAATAGGGATCAACATTTCAACTTAGAGCTAAAGAGAACAATTAGAAAAGATCCAACTCAATCCATAAGTCGTTTAGCACATGAAAGAAAGCTTTCACACATGACAGTCCGGAGAGCGGTGAAAAAAAAAAATGAGAATGAAATCGTACGTGAAAGGTGTGAGGCATCTTGTTACTCCAGGATAATATGTTTGAAGTTAGAGAGGGTGAAAATCATTTTGAATAAGTTGGAAAATCATCCCGGAATAATATGTATTTAAACTGTATTTCAATCTTTATGAGCTTCCGATCTTGAACTATGATTAAGTAATGATGGATATGTCTTTTTCGTTTATGTTCGATTTTATCACGATTCTTCTGCTAGCCTAGAGAGTAATTATACATTCTTATTGATCAAAGTAGAGTCCAGTAGTATTATAAAAAAACTGAGAATTCCAGTAAGATACTTTAATCATTTCTAACTTACAATGGGTCAAAGCTTGATCTAACAGATGGACAATTTTCCTGTCACACGATTTGGACAATTTTGCTGATACACACGTTATAGTAAATTACTTTAATCAGCATTGCGGGGAATATATTAATTAATCCGAAATATTTGAAGCTCACTTCCTTGGGCCGTCGCGCTTGCTAAAAACGATACTTGCTGTTTCTTTCATATGATAGTTCGTCCTTTTTTCGCGCTTTCGTCGAGTGGGCGTATCTGCAATGGCAGGCACAGAAGGAAAATAATCAGGTCACCTCCATGGATGTTTTAATGAAAATAGAATAAAAAAGGTCACTTATATTAGAACAGTTGTCAATTGCTGGGATAGATAATAATGAAATAAGGCTCGGTAAATTTGACACTCACAAGACGTGCTGAAGAGAAAAGATATGGGGAAAAGCATCAAATGTGCAAATGAATGGAGAGTAAGGAGTAGGAGTGATAGTAAAAAGAAAGACATAACTAAAACGTACAAAGAGGATGATGATATATAAGACACTGACGACGCCCGAGAACGACGAGGCACATAAAAATTCTCTTACTGTTAACAAGACTTAAAAAATTCAAATGAAAAAAAACTGTCTTCTTACTGTTAACAAGAGTTAACATTTCAACTGAAAAAAAAAAACTGACATGTTGCTGTTAACAAGACTTAACGTATTCAACTGAAAACACTGTCCTCTTGCTGTTAACAAGACTTAACGTATTCAACTGAAAGAGAAACTGTCCTCTTACTGTTAACAAGTATTAACGTATTCAACTGAAAAATAACTATCCTTTTAGTGTTATCAAGAGTTAACGTATTCAAATGAAAAAACTGTCATTTTTGCTGTTAACAAGACTTAACTTATTCAAATGTAAAAAAACTGCCCTCTTACTGTTAACAAGACTTAAATTATTCAGCTGAAAAAACTGTCCTCCTACTGTTAACAAGATTTAAATTATTCAACTGAAAAAACTGTTCTCTTAGTGTTAACAAGACTTAACTTATTCAACTGAAAACACTGCCATCTTACTGTTAACAAGACTTAACGTATTCTACTGAAAAAACTGTCCTCTTCTTGTTAACAAGAGTTAACGTATTCAACTGAAAAATTGTCCACTTACTGTTAACTAGACTTGACGTATTCAACTGAAAAAAAAACTGTTCTCTTACTTTTAACAATACTTAAAGTATTCAACTGGCACTGATAATAGGGAGGACACTACAGACATTTTATGACAACTATCATTGTTATCAAGGAGTCTAAAAATTCAATCTCAGACGCAGCCTTGTGGCCCGAAGAATTACTACCTGACGAAAAGAATCTAAAGACGACAAGAAGAGTAACAATAATATAAAATGCCATAATTGAAATAATCGGTTACGAACCTCTCTAATATTTTGATCACATAGATGATTATTTGAAATGAATGTCTCACCACAGAGAAGTAAAGAAAAGAGAATTATCCCGCAAAACACCGCCTAGCCATTACTTTCAGAATGCAAATGCTGTATGATAATATCACGTAAGAAAAAATTTGATTTCCTGTATTTTGAATTTGTTCATAACCAACAGTTGCAGATGAAGAATAGGTTGAGATAAAATATATAAAAATAAATATTCACATTATATTCGGCTTCAACAAGATTAATTGCATTTCAGTGCTGTGCTTTTTATTGAAAGGAAAGTTTGTATCAGAAAATGGTTTCCATATGTCGTCATCTAATTTGTTGCCCGTAGCAATCAGGTGAAAAATGTTGAAATACATTTGTCGTATGTTGAACTTAATGAGAGCATTGCTCATATTACACGGTGTTTATGGGAGTACATTCTTCGTGTAAATTCGCATTTGATTATTCATAATGAATACAGTATGCCAGCGATCAGACTGGCTTTATTCGTGCCCAGACATTAATCTATATTTCATAATATTTCCAC